GACATAGGCAAAACAAAAATATGCTCCGAAGGTGACGTCATGCGCAAGAATGACCAAATTTCGTACTGCTTACCGCTTCACCTGTATTCTTCCACCATGTTATACATTAATATTTTAAATAGGCAATAACGAACTTTGTCAAACTGACGTATTTTTCTTTTTTTTATTGTTGTCTTCGACGACTTAGGTCATTAGCCTCGTGTTCTTTGTAGGTGAACAAAACAGTAAATAGTCGGAGTGGGGAATCATACCAATCAGACATATCTAGAAATTAAAAACAGGGGTGGTATTCCGTTTCACGATTAGACTCGAATTTGATATCAAACTCCATAAAAGCAATTCCGTTTAACGAGTAGTCGATTCGATATCAAATCTTTAAAGTTGGATTATTCTGACATTAGGTATGACCTGTCAATGAGGTTAACTAATAAGCCTGTGGCTTAAAATTTTAGGGAAGAAAGGAATTTAGTTTCCAGGACATACCTATGTCTCTGACAATGCCTTTTCTGGATCACCTATCGTGCAACAGAGGTCTTTTATATCCTTAGAATATCAATAAATGGATTATTTATTATACAAAATGCTACAAAATATAAACATTAATAGGTTCTCTTTATTCAGCTGAAAAAGTTCTCCACGACGATTTTCTGGAAGATCAAGAGGATCGTTTCTTTTTTGTAACTCATCCTTTCTTTAGCCTAATAATAATAATAAATAATATTTTTTTAATTTAACCCATTATGAGTGATCCTTGCAACTCTGAATGCAGAGTTGTTTGTGCCCGAGGGATGACTATTATTACTTTCCATGGCTCTCCGAGGCAACTTACAGATGTCATTTGAATTATAGATGAGGATACCCCTAAAAAACCCCACCCATAAGCATAAAAACTAATAAATAATTACAATTTTATTTTTGTTGTTTGACGTTAAAAGTCGTGACATTCTGTTCTGTGTCGAGTAACTCGACACATAATTCGATCGAATTAAAAAAAGCGATTCTATAACTCGATCTGTTTTGACTTCGGAAATCTTCGGAAATTCGACAAAATAATGAAGCATTCAAACTATTCTGACTTTTAAACGTCAAACAACAAAACTTTAGTCTTGACGTGAATTATTTATTAGGTTTTATTCTTATGGGTGGAGTTCTTCCGTAGTGTTTTCATTTATAATTTAAATGACATCTGTAAGTTGCCGTGGAGCGCCATGGAAAATAATAATAGTCGTCCCTCTCCGACAACAAATAAATATGTATTGTATTTGGTTTAGCCATAAGCCATAAGATTAATAATTTATTTTTTTATGATGATGGTTGTGGTTTTTTCTGGGTATCCTCATCTATAAGTTATATGACACCATCTGTAAGTTCCATTGGAGCGCCATGGCAAATAATAATAATACGGTTGTCCCTCCCCGATACCAGCTATGCTTTCACAGTTGCAGGGATCACTCGTAATGGGGTAAATTGTAAAAAGATTATTATTTAATATTATTGTGCTTTGTGCTAAAGAAAGGGAATGACCTAAGGGAAAGAAGCGATCCTTTCGAACTCTCTGAAAATCGCTGTGGATAGCTTTTTCGGCTGAATAAAAATTACCTACTATTTCATAGGGACAGTGTTGATATTTCTTAAACGCTAATAGATAGAAAGTTGGTTAAATAAGAGAAACGTTACGCAATTTTGTGCTTATTAAAATGGTGCCAAGAAACCTTTTATATCTATAGGGAGATTTAAAATATCGGACAAAAAATGAAAATTGTCATTTCTTAAAATTCATTTATTCGTTTTTTGTCAGATATATTAAATTTCTTTGTAGATATCAAATGTTTTCTGGCACCATTTTAATAAACACAAAATTGCGCAACTTTTGTCAAATTCAACCATCTTTCTATCTGTTACCATTTAAGAAATAGCAATACTGTCCCTGACTCACGAGCTAGTAGGTACCTATCTAATTGGGAGGATGCACAATGGGCCTAGTGAGGCCTAAGTGCCATGAGTTAGCCCACTCTCCATACGTTACAGATACTGTCCCTATAAAATAGTAATGACCCCGTATATACCTAATAGAGAAAATAAGGCCCTTAATGCAGGAGAGGTTATTCAGAAAAGGCACATTGCTGCAGGAAAGGTTCATACCTAATGTCAAAAAAATTCAACTTTAATGATTTGATATCGAATCGACTACTCTAGGGCTATCGAGTTATTTGATCGAGTTTATTGTCGAATTTCGTTGATCGGAATTACAATTATGGAATTTGATATCAAATTCGAGTCGAAGATTTCCGAAGTCAAAACAAATAGAGACTATAGAATCGCTTTTCATAATTCGAAATAATTATGAATCGTATCGAGATCGAGTTACTCGGCACAGAACGGAATCCCACCCCAGTAACATAAATTGAGTAGCTATCAAGCGTTATTGTCATTTTCACGAAACAATGCGCTAGTTTAGTGTGATGTCATTTTGGTTCCACTGACATTTAATTCTAACCAAACTTTTGTCATATACTTCTTGTATTATTATTTATAATTTTTGTTCTATACGAAATTTTCCTAAAATGGTCCGTATTCGAGATATTTGAGAAAATGTGTAAATTTCGAAGTTTGAAGAAAACTCAGAAACGGATTAAGAAAGAAACATTAAATTTTAAACTTAACTTTTATTTCGGCCTAACGTGAAATGATTAGATTTTGGACAAAGTCGGAACATCTGGGGGGGTACTTCATGGGAGGCCGTTTTTATATTTTATGGAATATATCTGTTATTTATGTTTGAAGAAGAAAATTGTTCAAATAAAAGTTACTTCTAATATTATTATCTACAATTTTTGCTCTATCTCAAAATTTTCTGAAATGGTCCGTATTCGAGAAATTTGACAAAATGTACAAAATTCTGATTTTTATGAAAATTGTTGGACTAAAAGTTGTTTGCGATATCGATCTCTATAATTTTTGTTTATACATGATTTTTCTAAAATGGACCGTAATGGAAAAATTGTAGGAAAAGTGCTAAATTTAAATTATTCAGTATTTTCGTTTTCAATTAATATCTATAGAAAAATGTTTCGAGGTAGATGTATGTGGAAAATGTATATATTTAGTTTATCATCTAAATATTTATAGAGGTGCTGCAATAGGTTGTACAAAATAACCGGAAAAAGCCTATAATAGCTAGATAGGAAAGTCATGTGTTGGACACATCAGATTTTTATATCTACTATGATAATAATATAATTAATTATTCCGAACATTTTCACAAAAATTGATCATGTATTGGTAGATTTTAATAGTAAATTCTCAATAGTGGAGAATATGTCAACAACCTAATAGGAGATCTAGACATGCTTACTCTTGATTTGTATAAGAAACATCTAGTAACAATATTCATCTAGAACGCTATGATCCATCTATTGCTGACTTTTATAATAAATGACGTTTGTATTACTTTTAATGTGTATTACACCGTTCTGTATTAGTGTTTTAAATAAATATTGTTACAACTATGGCGGCATTTGCAAATAGGTTTAGCTGTTGTGTTTGTAATAGACACTTTCACCTTCGACAATATTTTGATTATTTTGATTACACAGAATGAACAAATAACTTCCAAAAATATTTGTTTTAAGGTTGATTTTTGGTGTTCATTTTAAAGAATTAGGGATTTCTAACTTCAACACCCTGTATCACAAAATCTAGCCATAGGATAGGATTGGACCCATGGACACTTTTGATGGGGACATCAAAATATGTAACATATCAAAAATTCAGACATTTTGACGGTACTGTTTGCATAAGAAAAGTGCGTGGTCCTTTATATCTCACACCAGAAAACCTAATACCTCACTTTGAGATGTTCCAAGCCCAAGTTTAACCAACGACAACTGTTTTTTCCCGAAATATTTGTAAATCATGCCAGTCAGAGATAAATAATTGCTAAAAATCAATCCAAATGTTGTCTTGTTTTCATACAATTTTTAAACTTTTTTTTATTTACTTTTTAGCACATAGTTAATATTAACTTTTGTTTGACAATAAACTGTACAAAAATATTTTGTTGAACGAAACTGTTAATTACTTGTTTTCAAAAAAAAAAAAAAAAAATTCGTTAAGGTAATTACCCAAATATTTTGATATATTTATTGGTTCCATATTATTTCCATTGTGATCTTTCGTAACGATTGTATACCTAAAGCTTGTCGGGCTATGTATAAACAGAAGATGTTTATCGTCTAACCTAATAACTAATAACATTAGTAGTGAACGGAAAATTAAGGTAAAATGCACGTCTTGAAAATGTAGGACAACAAATAAAATTAAGTGTGATTATATCGTGGTTGGTTATATGATTATAGACCTATGGATTTTATTTTGGAGAAAAATGTTTTATTGTTTACTAACCAGGTATGAAATTAATCTTTTTGGAGGAGGTATTCACAAATCACAAATATGTACAAGATATATGGAAATATCTTCAAAAAATGTTTCTAATGTTACATAAATGGCTATTTAAGGGCGTTCTTGGATTCCGAAACAAGACTCTAACAAAGAACCACTTACTTTCATAAACAAACGAAATGTCTGTGCTTCTAAGCGAGAAAGCAGTGAGTAGGTATTAGCACGAAAGGTATTAGCTACCTGCTTTTGACCATAGATGAAGATGCAAATATAGGGGATATGAGCGACAATAAACAAATTAAATGCTCCAAACGTTTTTAAATTTCTTGCGAAGTGTTTTTAGGCGAAAAAAAGTAAAAATGTTTAGTTAATTTTAATGAGCAACAAATAAAAAAGACAAACTTCTATTGATTGGAAAGAACAAGTAAAAACTTTAATTTGCCTTGTGAATTTGTAGATTTTAAATGGTGGTTTTGTTTATTTCTAAAAAAAGGTGGTTCTGATCAAATCAACAGTTTTAGAGATATTTTAACGACCGGGGCAACCCTGATGCGCACAATGTTTTCCTATCGATAATGAATATTTTTCTCTTGTTACAGGCCGAACGAGATCTCGAGCAGTGCCGGCTCGGCAATCGGCGGCAGCAAGCTTCGGTGCCCCGCTCCCATTTCTCGCCTTAAAGTCGAAAAAATCGAGGGCGGCTTAATGGTGGCGGGCGTCGTGGTGGCCGCCAACTGTCAAATCATCCTACCCATCTTCGGATTCCTCTTCTTATTGGTCGGCTGTGTTTTAACCGGTAAGTGTCCATTTAAAATTAAGATAAAAGTTCAATAAAGGGTTGTAACTTAGATTAAAAACGTGTGATAAATCATAACAAATTTTCATAAAAGTGAAAAATTATATGTCTCAACTGACTATAATAGCAGACGTGACCTATTTATATACACATGTGGAGTTTCTCGAATTATTCGCGCAATCACCAAAAGTTACTATGACAGCGATTACTTCGCCATTTATTAGTCTGAGACGTTATCTTTGGATTCTTGATTATCATTCTAGTATATTCTAGATCGGTTAATCCATCAGAGTAAAAAACTGGTGCTTTCGGTAAATTCTGAAATTTTTTTAGTTGGCTGAACGGTTTTTTCGACTGTCGATTACGAAATATAGGCGTATCTATAGGAAGTTTTCGGAAGTTTATTCACTTCATCAAATATTCTTGGTAACGGGAAAGCGGAGGCCGTAAGAGCAGGATTAGACTGATCGAAAATGGCTCGCATGACAAAGGAATTGGCAAAATTTGTATATAATAAATAAGTGATATATGTAAAATAAGTAATATATTTTATCTACTATCAATATGTAATGTCAAACTTTACAGTTGTCACTTGAATTTCGTAATCACGTACTATACCGCACTAGTGCGGTAAAGTAGGTAAAGTATCGGAATTCCCAATATGTTGCTTTTTACATTATATAACATTAGGTAACCTATTTTTGGAAAAGGATTTTATTTACAAAATTAAGAGAAAATATTAAATTACTTTCTTCCAAATTACATAAAATAATATTGTACCTTACTTATAAACATTAATAACAAAATCTGTTAACCTTACTTATAAACATTGATAATAAAATCTTTGCAGTTGGTAATATTTAGTCCTGCAGATGTAGATGCTAGAGATGTACTGATATTCTCAACAGTCGTTTCAGTGGGTAATATTCTGTTTTTCTGTCGGTATAGACGTAACAGATTCACCAATGTTTTCAACGACGGTTTCAATGGGAATAATCTGTTTTCCCATGATTTTACTAGCTATTATTCTCTTATTTTCTATAGATCTTTCTACATAGCATTCAGCTACAGAAGTGGACTTCCACCCATCGTGTGCATATCTGCACCAGCATCAGCAAGAAGGGACGCGGAGGATCTTCGGAAACCGTGCCCGGTGTATCCCTCTGGATTTGTCAATTTTAAAAAAGCAGCAACTTCTTTTGGAATGCGCCCAAAAGTGTTAACTCCTACAGGTTGTGAAGTACACTTTTTATTTTTGTAGTAAACAAAAAAACGAGTATGAGTGGTATGTTGTGGATGAAGGCTAAAATATTTTCTGAATGTATGCAGACAGTCAAAAGCCGTCAATTTTTCCTGTGGTAACTGCAAATTCTCGTTTAATTTTAGTCTTCGTATTTGAAATTTCAATCTTAATAAACGTTTCCTTATCAACAATATCATTTACTTTCAAATTGGTAAGTTCTTCTCTGCGACAGGCTCCAAAAACACCAATTATTAAGGACACCTACAAAAAGATTAAAATTTTCAAAGAATTTGAGTACTACCTACTTCTAGCTTAGGTAATATATGTACAGATAGGCTACCCCTGTATAAATCTATACAAAGTTGATGTCGCTCTAATAAAATCATTGTTTCTTTTTATAATGCAGGCTTTCTCGCTTATATTAGAATCTTCAGCAGTAACGTACGTAAACGGATTGCATTGGGTTATTTTAAATGTGAAAATAGTGACTGCAAATAGATTAAAAAAGTACAAAATAATGTTTTAAAAGATAGGTACGTTTTTATTAAACTTAAAACAAAATATGACATTATTGTTATGTCAAAAAATATAATAAATATTTTATTGCTTCTAAAATATTTAGATTTAGGATTTGGAATTCTATAAAATATCTATACCTGTTGAAAAGCTATACAATGGTAGAACAGAAGAAATACATAAAGGATTTAATTTAAATATGACAAAATATTCCTAATAAGAATAAAACAAACCAATATATATTTACCTATTTAGCATAAGAAGAAGTATTTCAGAATATTAAAAAATCTGATGTGTCCAACACATGACTTTCCTATCTAGTTATTATAGGCTTTTTCTGGTTATTTTGTACAACCTATTGCAGCACCTCTATAAATGTTTAGAGGATATACTAAATATATACATTTTCCACATACATCTACCTCGAAACATTTTTCCAAAGATATCCATTGAAAACGAAAATACTGAAAACTTTAAATTTAGCACTTTTCCTACAATTTTTCCATTACGGTCCATTTTAGAAAAATCATGTATAAACAAATATTAGAGATCGATGTCGCATACAACTTTTAGTTCAACAATTTCAGAATTTTGCACATTTTGTCAAATTTCTCGAATACGGACCATTTCAGGAAATTTTGACATAAAACAAAAATTATAGATAATATTAGAAGTAACTTTTATTTGAACAATTTTCTTCTCCAAACATAAATAACAGATATATTCCTTAAAATATAAAAACAGCCTCCTATAAAGTACCCCCCAGATGTTCCGACTTTGTCCAAAATCTAATAATTTCACGTCAGGCCGAAATAAAATTTATGTTTAAAATTTAATGTTTTTTTCTTTATCCGTTTTTGAGTTTTCTTCAAAATTCAAAATTTACACATTTTCTCAAATATCTCGAATACGGTCCATTTTAGAAAAATTAAGTATGGGATAAAAATTATAGAGAATTATATAACAAACAACTTTTATTTGAACAATTTTTATGAAAAATAATTTTTTTTACATTTTGTCAAATTTCTCGAATACGGACCATTTTAGGAAAATTTTGTATAGAACAAAAATTATAGATAATATTAGAAGTAACTTTTATTTGAAGGATTTTCTTCTCCAAACGTAAGTAACAGATATATTTCATAAAATATAAAAATGACCACCTATAAAGTACCCCCCCAGATGTTCCGACTCTGCCCAAAATCTAATCAGTTCATTGGATGCTGGAATAAAGCTTAAGTTTAAAGTTTGGTGTATTTCTGTGTATCGGTTCATGAGTTATGGTGGATACAGACACACACACACAGGCATCATCGCGAAAATAGTCAAAACGGATTCAGGGGACCTCAAAACGTAAAAATCCGTCGAAAAAAATAATGATTCCTATACGTTCCTTATATCTGTATACAGATAGGAAAGTAAAAATATATAGGAATTTAATTTACTTTTCTATATAATGACTTCGTTTAAAATATAAATTATCTAGTTACTTTATTTAAATTAGGTAACTAAATATTGTTATATTACTGATGATAGTTTATATTTTAGACCATGTACAATGGCTTCGTTAGCCGCCAATTCAAAGTAAGATATATTTTCTTCACAAATATTCATGATAATTATTATTATTTTGAGTTATTATTTAGCCAACCAACAATACCTAGCAATTACACAAGGCTACTATGTTTTGTCTCGCAAAAATTATTAATGTCAATTATGACTACGCTAAAGGTGAATTCAAACTTCATCTTTGTCATATCAATGTACAGAAAATCTGGTAGTTATTTATTTTTTTTTGATAGTAGATAAAATTTTGTACAATATTCGTATCGTAAATTCATATTACGATACTTATATCGTAAATAACAAGTACCTTTACACCTTTAGCGTAATAATTAAGGGTTTACCGATAATAAAAAAAAATGTTTTAGTGTCATTTAAGTTTTAAATTATTCTCCTTTTTGATAGATAAGGAAGTGAAATGCGAGAATAATTAGAATCATTTATAATTAGTCTGAAATATGGGAATAATGTCGACTGGATTATTCGATAATATAAAAATAACATAATTGTGTGCTCCGATTTCACTATAATAAAAACATTCCCTATCGATTTCTTCGTTTACGTCAATGCAATGGTTTTATTCTCGGCGTGTGCAGAGTGTCACGTTTCGATTCTGATAAAATGTAAATAGTTTATTTTTCAAAATGGAGAATCAAAAACAATAACAAGCTGCTAGATACGCGTCGCCACAATCAGATGCATATTATTAACATAAACGATGTTAATACTCATATTATATTACTAAACGTTTATCAAACCAATAACGTGACAACTACGATTTATATTTTTTCAAGATATTATATTTTTTGTTAGTTATCTAGTGGAGAAGAGAGCGATATCCAGGAAATAACTACGGTCATTAATATACTATTAAGAGATGAAGGCAGCACTCTCACCAACCAAAGGGTCCTGGAGTCTTAGAGGAACATCCATTCACCAGTGGCAAAAAATTATAAAAAATAATCTCTTAATATCATAGTCTGATTCTGATTCTGATAGTCTTTAGGGGCAGAAACGCAGAGGCTTCACAAATGCTCGGAATGTCTCATAACTGGTTTTGGAAAGAGAATAATAAGTGAATAAACAATTACATATATTTAAAATATTTACAAAATTACTAATAGTCAAGAATAAATGATCAATTTATATTTAAGGAATAAAGCACTATCTGATAAGTCCAGACTTTTTGATAACGACTAAAATGATAAATTACACAACATGTAAAAATAATTAATAATTTACCTCTCGCTGCACAAACCTTTACACATTATGGTTTTTCGGGACCTACCTATAGGGTCCCGAAGCAAGAGTTAGGGCAGTTGCCCTTACTCAAGTCTCCTCGATCAACTATCGACTTGTCTTTTTAAACCAAAATTTACGAAAAGTTAATTATTATCAAACGTATTAACTTGGATACATTTTTTAGTTCAATGTAAACCATTGACTTGCGTAATAATAACCTAATTGGTTTATTTCAATATGTGTGTTTTTCTATTTGAAAATTTAGTTCAATAATTTAATACTTTTTAGAATTTTTGTGTAATTCTCTATATTTAACTAATAATAATGAGGTGGGGTTTCCTGTAGGATAACTGCGTGAAAGCTGTATGAATAGGATACCCCGAAGCATCCACCTACCGTTACGGCTTCCGATTCCGATTAACCCAAAATGTTTCCAAAAGTGGTCAGTCCTGAGACTCACGCGTAAGTCGTCTCGTCAGTACATTGTGGTGCCTAGTGCATTGGAACTTTATGTATTGTAAATAAAGAGTGTATACACAGAGCAAATGGTTGAATCGAGTTTGGTTTATAAGTGATTAGAGCGTTATAGAGACTTGCATTAGAGTTTATTTAATAACTTTACATGAGTAAACTCTCTTCTCTTTTGTAACCATTGCTCTCATCACTTTGTCTTAGCTTGCCTACTTTTTATATACAAATAAATAGCTGACATAAAATAGCATCCATTTGGAGTGACCATGAATGAACAGATTCCAAAATCAATTTGGATGGCGTCCTAACAGATTTATTCTATTTGGAGTGATGCGAATGGGGGCCTTAAATTAAATTTATTAGAGACGAGCGTAAGTGTCTTATTTTGGCCTCCACTTTTACGATTACCAAAAATATTCGATGAAATAAGTTAACTTCCAAAACCCCCTAATAGAACGACTATGGCCACTGCCGATCATCTGTCTGGAATATACTAAAATCATGAGGTGGAATGTAAAAAAAATGACGAATGCATTTCATTGGTCAGTGTAAGAAATGTTGCTTTCTAGAAATTTCAAAACACGTTGGGAGCGTATTATTTGGGCATATAAATAGAATTGTTTTCTCATTTAAATCAGTTTATAGCGAAATATCGATGTGTTAAGATATATGTTCTCTGAATGTAACGTGTGGAGGGTGGGTTAACCCACGGTACTTAGGCCCATTGTGCATTTTCATAAGTTGATAGGAACCTCCTAGCTCGTGAGGACAGCCTACAGATGTGCTTCTCTTATACCGGCATGTGTTAGCTAATTCTCGCCGAACACAAATCTAATCAATGTCAGATTCTGTCTAGTCGTAATCAAGTATTTGTTTGCTGTAATGTTATCAGGATAACTTGAAAGTAAGATATATGTTGTCAAAGTTAATTAGAAAATAAATGTTAAACTGTAAATAAATTAGTAAATACAGTGTAAAACAAGTATTAGAAATTAAAAATTAAAAAAAAAACGACTTCAAAAACGTGCAGATGCCATCACCACATCTCAACCAAATTTATATGGGACCATCCCTAAGGTACTCCTTTATTATAAAAAAAAGAATCATTTAAATCGGACACCGTGTTAAAGAATTATCGCTGAACATACATAAATAAAAAATATCGCGACGAATTGAGTGTTTTTTATTTTAAACTAAATAAAGCCGCGACAACTGACTCCGGTATTAGGCATTCCAATGACCTGTCCAAATGGTTGCCTCTTGACTTTTAATATTATTTTGTTCTATAAAATTTAATAATAAATTACTCAGAGCAATTCTTTTGTTATTAATGGGAACTATTTATCAGAGACGTTAGAAATTAAATAATAATTTTAAAAAAAATAGAATTTTTGTATTGTGTCATTTTTGTAATAAATATCCAAAATTAGTTTGTAAAGTTACTTGTCTCCATTCAATCATATGACAAGGAACTGCACAAATGCAAATATCCAGGCAGTATATTTTAATTTATTCGAGTTAGGAGGATTTTTTGCAAACCTTTTAAATTTGTAGTTACTTATTATAATCAAAAATCGCATTTATCTGACAGAATTCTGAATCGAGTAAAAAAAAGTGAAAATTTATGTTTGCTTATTATTATTAGTAAAACATCATAAGTTGCATTTGATAACTTTTTCTAATTTTATGTATGTATGTGCCAAAAATGAGTCCATAAGAAATAAAAAAATTTCAAAAATAGAAAGTTTGGGCTGTTTTACTTCAAAATTTTTTTGATGGTGCTACCGGCCCTACTCCATCTCTTGATAGGGTACTGTGGGAGTTAGATTTTTTACTCTGCTAAAAAGAAATTATCGCACCACTAATAAATTTGTAATCATTTTAATTTTAGAATGTCATTAACGAATTAAACTTTTATTAAATTCCTTGTAAATTAAACACTTTTTTAAAATGTATTTCTAAAATTATGAGTACAAAATTTGAAAATAAACAAATTAATTTTTTTTTTAAATAAACTTAAAATCATATTTAATACCGGGTATTTCCACCTATGCTTCTAATTGTGTGCTGCAGCGACGATTCATACTTAAAATAAGACTTCATATGCTGTTTTGATCCAGTCCACTCCACATTTCAAGCAGAAGTCGCCCCACGTCCTCCAAGTGTTAGGTAGAATCGTATGAGGACGTAATTGTCTTCAGGGCATATCCCAGACATGCTTTATTGGATTAAGGTTTCGTATGAGCACGTAATTGTCTTCCGGGCATATCCCAGACATGCTTTATTGGATTAAGGTCGGACCTTCGTGTTGGCTAAGCCATAGTTTCAATGCCAACCCAAAAGATAATCTCGAACTACTCGGACTGTGTGGGGTCTAGAATTATCTTGCATTAGCAAAACATTTAACCGATATAAAAGGCAAATGGCACAACATGTTCCTCAAGAATACTTAATATATAGTGTTCAACAATAATATTACCAAATCCGTATCTATTGTTAACGAAATTCTTTCCCACACCATGACTGAGCCTCCACCGAATAAAGTGGTATTCCCAATGTTACACTGTGCGTATCGTTCAATCAGCCTTCTAAAAACACGAACTCGTCCATCACACGTCTGTAGGAAAATCTGGTTTCATCTGTTCAAAGAACTCGTTTCCAGTCAGGTTCCCCCCAGTTGCCGTGCTCCCTTGTAAAGTTTAAACGGGCTCTAAGATGATCTACGGTTAAGGCTGGCATTCGGACAGCCTTCGAGGATGCAAATCACCTTCCCGAAGTCGTCGAATATTTTCCAATCTTACTTAATCGTCATGTGCGTTTTGAAGCAGAGATAACAGTCTTTTTGTTACAAATCTTTGTCTCAGAACAGTAAGTCTTAAAAAGCGATCTTGGCCGGGAATCATGATGTGATTTCTCCCTTGTTCAGCTCTTGTACTGTGCTCACCAGTTTTCCTCAATCGTTCAACCATACGTGAAACTGATATGGTACACACCATATCTGTCACTCATTCGGCGACAGCACCATCCTTCTTCGTGTAATAAAATGGCCTGGACACATTCAACAGGCGTCAAATTTCTGGATTTGCGTTGCATTTTAACAATTCAAACAGAAGACTATCGAATCGCTCAAAAATTTAAACTCGTTGGCAAAAATAAACCACTAACTGGCTTGAAAGTAAAGTTATATTATAAGAAATATATAAGAAAATTTCCATAACGAAACAAAAGCAGCTCAAATAAAAAGGTGCTTTGTTGTTACCAGGGTCTTTAAAAATATGATAAAATATTGAAGTTTGTTTAAAATGGCAATATTCATCTTAAAATATTAAGAGGTGCGTTAATTTCTTGGAGAAGTATATAAGTACATAGTAAATCAGGTCTATTGTAAATATGCAAAAAATTAGAAGTTTATCTCCACTTTAAATGTGAACATTATCATGATAATAAATATCTAATAAAAAAATACAAAAAGACACTGTATGTGCCGAGATTCGAAGGCGCAATCACTTGTTACAATATCAGACGCCTTATACATTACACTACATTCTTTCGATGCTTGTATTTATAAGGACGGTGTATATACTATAAATTCGGAAATATATGCGCTACTTTCATACGTAACATAATGAAGGATGTATTAAAATGTTATTTAAAAAAAAAAGTACGAATGTTTCAGTTATTTTTGTTTCATTTCAGCCGCATCTTATCGAGGACCGGGAGAAGACGAGGATCCTGACCGGTACGAGGCTCGAATCTCCTTCACCAGTAATTCCAGAATTTTAGGTCCGGCATGCATCGTCGTCGGTTTCTTTATGCTCGTCGCCGGTTGCATCTTATGCGTCCTGACGCGACGAGCCAGAAGGAGAGAGCAAACCATTGGATTTCACTGTCCTTTGCACGGGGACTTTTATCCCTTGAGTCCGTTGTCGAGTTCGAGAACGTTGGGTAAGTTTTTAATAGATTTGTTTTGGTTCTTGTTCTAGAATTGTTCCAAAACCATGTGCAGAACAGTTCTGTAACAATTTCATTTGTACTCAAAACCAAAATACTGCTAGAACAGTTATGTCAAGAAGTTAAATAAATTATAAATAAAAAAAAGAAGAAATAATTTAGGGTCAATGTTTAAGTAAGAAAAAGACCACGTAATATTGTAAAACGTAGATAAATTAAATAATTTATTCATAAAAAACTATAATGCAACATCAACTAATCAACTACTACCATACATAATAAATGGCCGAAACTCGAACTTTTCAAAATCTAGCTTTTTCTCAGACATACTTTCTACAAAAACTCACACTTCTATCACCATAGTAACTTAATTCACTTTTGTTTACTAAAATCTTTTCAAAATAAATAAATACCAATATCCCCTCGTAAAATTTAGATAAAAACGTTATTGTTATAATTAAAAAATATTTGCATAAAAAAAAATAAACATTTGCTAAAAAGATATAATGTCTCTTGGTAAATTTGATAAAGAAATAGATTACAGAATAAAAATATGTTTATTATTACTGTGGCAAATGATGATTGATGTTGCTCGTAAAATGCTGTTGCTCCATTGTTATTAGTTATCATAATTATGAAAATTAACTCAATTGATACTTCCTCACTAATTTAAAAGTCATTACGTTCATTTGTGTATGTAAAATATGAAAAAAGGCATACCTTATCTAATCTATTAACATTTATTTTTTCACGAATTGATGTTTGTGGAATTATTTAAAAATAAAAACTTGTCACGATTAAATGTTTTCTACTTAAATTTTTTATAAAAGTCAGAAAATTAATCGGTGGATATTAATTTAATTAATTAATTAATTAATCAAAAGTTAGGAAAGTGTTTAATGTACAATTTTTTATTTTTATTTGCTATTAATTTAGACCTCAAACTATCACGTGATTCAGTTATTTTCACTATTAGGAAAAATTATGACAGAACATCTCAAACTTTGAAAAGCGGAAAAATTATTTTTATCATTTTAGGGAGCATCGAAAAAGGCAGGACGTGTTCTCTGTGTTGGCCTAGGAGGCGAGGCCCCGGTGCCATAGCCGTGGGCCCGCCGCAATGCCCCCATAGTCAAATGTCGAGCACGCGAAGTTCCATTGCGAGCTCGCCGCACAGCCAGTGTCCCACGCCACTGCCTTTTCTGGTCAATTCCGGATCCGTAGGGTAAGTGAATTACTCCCTGTGTTATTTGATGTGCTAGAAATTAAGGTTAATCATAATATACGGGCTATTTATCTATGTATACAGGGTGTCCCGAAATTAGACGGTCATATTTTAACAGCGTAATCTACATCCTAAAATAGGAGTAAAAGTTCATATAAACATAGGTCCGAAAACGTTTCTTTTCCGAGATACAGGGTATTAAAAGTGAAGTCCTGATGACACTTTTGTAAATATTTTCTAAACATTTAAAGATAATAAATGAAATTTGGTACAAATGCTTACCTTTTTATGCTCTATTTAATGGATTAAACCCTAGTTTTTGATCATCTTCATAGGTGGATAAATTACGAGGGGCTTAGGGTAAAATTGCCCTAAGTTTTTTTTTTTTTGTTGACAGTTTTTAACATTTTTGCCTACAAAATTTGGAAAACCAATGTTTTCTTTATAATAAAGCTACTTTTGTTGTATCGTGCTAGGACGCACCATTTTCAAGAGAAAAGCAATTGAAAATTTCATGATAAGTTGATGTTATCTTATTCGAAAGTGTAAACAATAATTAGTAGGCCTGTGGAATCAAAATTTTTTTTTTAACTTTGGAAAACCGGCGACTAAAGAAATTTTAGAAAATATTTACAAAAATGTACCATCAGGACTTCACTTGTAGTACCCTGTATCTCGAAAACGAAACGTTTTCGGACCTATGTTTATATGAACTTTTACTCCTATTTTAGGATGTAGATTACGCTGTTAAAATATGACCGTCTAATTTGGGGACACCCCGTATATCATAAGTGTAAACGCACAAAATGTTCTTTAAAGCTGGATATAGTTGATTTTTTAAGTTGTCCTATGTAAATTTTATGATTTTTAGTTGATGCTATTTACGTTATTATTTGGGTTTTTTTATAATTTTTTATTGGATTATTTTATGGCATATTTTAAAATATTTAACATATTGAGACTTAAAATATTCAATAATACTCATTACATTTTTATTGTATACGATATGTTAAAAAAACCGCTGACGTAGACGTAATTAACGAATTTTCTTGTTGTAGCCCCACATTAGCTTTAAAATTTTCTGATAAATCACGCATATCTTCTGTTTTTTATAGGTCAGTCCAAAAAACTCTTTGGTATTCACCAATTAGCATCTCAGAAAAATTTTGTAAATTGTACTGAGCAATATTATTTATAATTTTTGTGTTATACCTAATTGATCTTTTTTTGTGTAGTGATCAAACAATTCATACTTGTTACTACTTGTTAGCATCTGTTTTTCGTTCATTTAACTTCGATTTTAACTATTACCTTGGATATTTGGACTACAATAATGTTGTCTCCAGATTTAAAGACTTCAGCAGAGCTGGCTATCTTTTCTTTTTAGAAAGTTGTATTATTTAGAATTTTTAATGGTTCAAATGAAAGGAATAAATTCGTTATAATGGAAGTAGTTGGTTTTTCGAAAAAATGCTTATACAGGTCAATTTTGTTTACTAAAAGTGCAATTTTTCAAAAAGAATTCAAGTTTCCTCCACCTCTCATTTTTGGGCAGTGACGTCATTGACAATTTTTTTAAATAGTAACCCCAATTTGTTTTTCTTGATTTTGATAGATCTTGTAGTTTCCTACTCGGAAACAATATTTGCAATATCTTAGATAACAGTTTTTAATGACAATTTCACAGCAAAATAATTCCATAATATTCTACTAAATTAGGTGTTCAAAATATCCTCCACCGACGTCTTGCCTTTGTATGGTACTAATGAAAGGAATAAATTCATTATTTCGTAAACCAGTGATTTTCGGGAAAAATCCTAAAACCCGTCGTTTTTTATTTTTAAACCGGTCTTTCGTCAGGATATTTTTTTATTTTTGACGACATCTATGTGAGCGCGATGACATCAATGTGTGTGTTGTAAGGTCTTCTAAATATCTATTCAGCCATATCAATTGTCTAAGTAATTTAGTTTTGTATATTGTCAAAAAAATTATTTTTTTATTATTGTTAAATCTTATCTACTTCTTACTTTTCTAAAACGAATCTAGTTACCTTATCAAAATTGCTACCTTGACATTCAACTTAATTCGCTTTCTGTCTGTCAAGTGGTTGACGTTTATCATGAAGCTGAATGAAACGCAAAGAATTGAAGTTTTAATAATGATTGGTTGTGGAGATAAAACACGTACGCAGAAACGTGTATGTACGTTATTTAATAATAAATACCCAAACCGAGAAACAATTTCACAATCCAATGTGAGTAAAATTGAGAAAAAATTCAGAGAAACGGTTTATGTGTGATAAAGGTAGTAGAAACCCAATTTTCGAAAACAAGAAACTAGGTGTTCTGTTAGCATTTAAAGATAATCCCAATTCACGGCAAGTAGTATTAAATAATGACCTGAGAGATTCAACTGTTCTTAGAACGCTAAAATAGCAAAAGTGGCATCTCTACAAAGTTACTTTAGTACAAGAACTTATGGAAGAGGATTTTGATAAACAAGTTCAATTCTGTGAAATTATAATGGACAAAAACAACAGAAATCCAATGTTTTTAAAAAATATACTTTTTTTCGGGGAATCTACATTTTTATTAAATGGTCATGTCAGACTTCTCGGTATTGAGCTACCGAAAATCCGCACTGGATGCAAGAATACCATATTCAATACCCAGAGAAAGTGAATGTTTGGGCGGGATTAATAGATAATAAGACTATTGGGCCATACTTTTACGAAGAAACCTTAACATGTTTTCGATAATTAGAATTTCTTCAAAACTTCTTGTTCCCCGAATTGAACCGATTGTTCCTAAACAGAAATTTGTGGTTACATCAAAACGGTGCGCCTCCACACTATGCTGTCTTGATGCGAAACTACTTGGACAACGTCTTCCCAAATCGGTAGATAGGTCGAAGAGGATCAATAGAATGGCCTCCTAGGTAACCCGATTTCCTTCCTCTTGATTTCGTTTTATGGGAATACTTGAAAAGTAAAGTGTACCAAAATAGACCACAAAATATCAATGATCTCAAAGAACGGATAAGTATTGATATTGCAAACATAACTCCGAAAATTTACAGCTCTCACTGTTACACACAGCATAGAATGAACATATTGTTACCATGCACCCTGCAGTAGCCTGCGGTTGTTATAGGAAACGTACGAATAAAAAAAGGAAATAATGTCACCCATCACCCTACAGTATGCCTCGGTCATCATATGTAAAAGTACGAGTAGATCCGTCTTTTTTAGTTACTAGGACCACGGGTGAGCACCAGGGACCGCTTTAATAATATTTGCATCCATCATGTCCTGTATCATATTTGCTACTTCTTTCTGTTTAGCAAATAGGAGTATTCTAGGTGTTTGCCGTATTGGCCTTGCATCGCATGTATAAATTATATGCTGAACAAGTCTGGTGCGCCCCGTAGATTTTTCCTGTCTTGAAAATGTCAGTTGGTATTGATCAATTCTTTGACTTTAAGTTCTTCAGCTGTCAGATGGTCACAATTTTTAACTAGCCATCTCAGAAAGCTGCGTCAATTTGATTACTTGTGGTGACTTTCCCCGTAGAACCGTCTTCGTACTTGATTGTTTTCTTATTTTTTGTTCTTTCTTTAGTTTTAATGGTCTTTTCGATAAATTGGCAACACTTACTGGAATCAACTGATCTACGATAACGAGACATCTAGCTACCATAATTCCTTCACTCACAGATTCATCACTTTCCACAATGCCTACATGTAAGCCGTGTGATATCTCGCTAAGTCTCGCCGAGACGACAGCTTCAGAATTTTGAGGGTACTTCTATATCTTCTTCCATTAGGACCTTTATCGGTTGAGTCTTTTCTTCCGAATTTAGGACAATTTCCTCATTCTCAACTACCAAAATCCTATTTTGAAGGTCGATGATGAACTTATTTTACATAATGTCCATGCCAAGAACACACTGATCTTTAACATCGGCCACCAGAAATAAGTGTTCTATCAGGGTATTACCAATCTGTATGGTTGCTAATATTTCTCCTAGAACAGGAATAGTGTGCCATATAGCTGTTTTCAGAACTAAGCTTCTTTGAGTTAGTCGTAGTTTTGGATGCAGGATCCCTGTTCTAATGAAACACTTGGTTGCACCAGTATCAATCACGATGGTGCCTTTTTGGTTGTCGATGTACTCCTTGATCAGTAAATTTTGTTCGTTTTTATTTAAGGTGTAAGATCGAATTTTGGGGCCCTCTATTATAGTCGACACCTGTCCATAGTATCGACCTTTTTATTTCCCTGATTATTGTTAGGAAGCCGGCTAGGTGTGGGTGACCGTTTTCTCTGGGAGGCATATCTGCTGTAATTCTTACTTGTTGGGCTTCGGGACGTTGATCTAGGTGCATTTCTGGCTTCATTCCCTGATTATCGATTTATAGAATGAGCCATGCTTCTACAGGTTCTTTGAAGGTGTCCGATTCTTCCGTAATTGAAGCATCTTCTGCTCTCATTTTGGCTGTTTCGTTGCATATTTTGCGTATATTTAAGATTTGTGAGAGGGTAGGTTAAGAGACAGTATTAGTAGTGGCCTCTTCACTTTCCTGGAATCTAATTTCTCTCAATTTTTCGCTAGAAGATCTGGATATAATTTTTGCTGCCTTGTCTTCCTGTCTGCAATCAGTGTTTCACTCAACGTCTGGTGGTGTTATAGCCAAAGAGCCTGCTGCATTTCAACATCCTGTAGTTCATCAATGAATGCCTGTATTCCGATTTGTTTTCAAGAAATCTTAGGGCGTCTGTGGATAGGCCAGATGCAGCTATATTTTTATATCGTCCTCGAATTCTTGTAGACTCTCATTGTGTTTCTGACTACGAACTTTTAGCTGGCTTTAGAAAACCTGTTTCAATTGCTGCTGGCCATATCTTGTCATTAAAGCTTGTACGAGAGATGAGTAACTGGGTTCTTCTTGGGGAAGTAACTGTAAAACCATCGCTGCGACATTATCAATGAAGCCTC